AAAAAAAAAAAAAATGACAGCATTAAAAAAATAAAGAAGCTAAAAAAAATATTCACAAATAATAATTAAAAAAAATTACATTAAAAATGTTTTAAAGTCCCCCGCCCCGCCACATACACATGCAAACATGCGTCGGGTGCGCCTATGTACGAAAACGACGATTGCACCTATTATGCAGCACATGTTACATATCCCCGCGAACGTCAGAGTGAGAGCAATAATTTTAGGGCCATCAATCACTGATAACACTAAACTGATGAGCGGTAAAAACGTTTAAAGTGTCGCCTATGGGCAATTTTGGTTGCGGTCGTTTTCTGCGATTTCGCGGGCGCGCGCAATTTTAAAGGTTGACATATTTAGTGTCTATTTACCCGACGTGACCCCATCTTTTATAGTATACCAAAAAATTAGGGTGAAAATAAATGTTTCATAACATTTTATAGGGAAACATGTTTTTTTTTACAAAATTTAGGGTACTTTTTTTGTTATATAGTAAAAAATAAAAACCCCAGCGGTGATTAAATACCACCAAAAGAAAGCTCTATCTGTCCCCAAAAAATGGTATAAAATTAATTTCAGTACAGCGTTGCATGACGGAATAAACGTCAGCCAAAGTACCGCAGCGCAGAACACTGAAAAATGGCCTGGCCAGGAAGGGGGTGAAACACAGCGGTCTTCAAGTGGTTAAAAAGATACATTGTTATTGATTACAACTTAGATTTCTGTTTTTGGATATGTGATCAGCATCACGACATTTGAATCATTTTGACTAATACTTGACTAGTTTTGGAATATTACAGATATCCTCTTGACTACCCTAGAGTTGTTTTGACAAGTTTCTACTTGGTGTGTTGGAGTGTGCAATGCATATGTTAATGTAATCCAAAAAAGGAGGTTTGGCTGTCTTGGTAACAAGAATAAACCATGTTAAAAGACCATAAATCATATGTAGTATGGCTTCATTGACATATGGATCAATTTACTTTTGCACTCCAAATATAAGCAAAACCCTTCTTATAGGGTCAGTCTACCCAAAATTATGTTTATCGCTTTTGGTCACTGCTAGAAAGGAAATCTATAATGTTTTTGGGTTCAGTGTAAAACTCTTTTTACAAGTCTATAAGCTTAAACTAAACTATAGTGCATATACTGTATATATACACACACACATACATACCCATACATACACACACACACACACACGCACAATCTTTGTTTTACAGAAAACATTTCAGGAAGACTTTACCCATGAGAAAGGGTTCACAAAGCACCTTGGGTTTTCGAAAGTTTGAGTACAACAGAAGCTGTTTTTTTTTTTTCAGACACTCTCGGTTGGTTTACTAAAGGCAAATAGGCTGTTCACTTTCAAAGGGAATGTTCACTTTGCAAGGAAATTTCCCTTAGATCAGTGAATGTAGTAAAAAGAATACCAAGTCATGTGACAATAAAACAAAAACTGTATTTTTTATGGAAAATATTTAGATGATGGAGGTCAGCAGAGTTTCACCTCTTTCACTAAACTATGGTAAAATTATAATGCAAAGTAAACATTCCCTTGCAAAAAGAAAGAAGGGGAAGGAGTCACTGATCGGACATATAGTTGTGTGTAAATGTCAGCTTGAGCTATTAATCTCTGTATGTAGGCTTTTATTAGAAGGAGGTAAGGAGTTATATTATGCAAGAGTCCGAACCTTTAAGCCTCATAGGAGAACACAAAATATTAATAGTTCATCCTACCTTGACTAGAGAAAACAACCCAAATAATGTAATTTTTAGACCTGACTGTAATAACATGAAACTGAAGAAAACCACAATATATTCCCTTTAAACTATCTGACCAATGATCTATTGGGAACTCCCACTCTCCCTGTTGGATTATATATATTACATTTTGGAGAATGCAACATAAGGTGCTAGATCATGCAAAGGTGTGTGTGATCACCTAAAGATCCCAGATCGATCAAAACAACATAAGGAATTATGTCAAGGAGATCTTGCTGTTGACGTATCCAACACATATTAGAAGCCAGAGACTAATTCATGCCACTGGTTTCCATTAATAACTTCTTAACATCATCATCATCATCATCATCATCATCATCATCATCATCATCAATCATCAATCATCAATCATCAATCATCAATCATCAATCATCATCATATCTTTTACAAAACTAGGTTTACTTTAAATTGTAGTTTTTAAAAATACACAGTGCTATTTCCTCCCACCTGTAGTTAAGTTCTTCATTTCCAAGAGAAAAGGTATCGTATAATGAATAGGCTTCATTTCCATCCCAGTCTCTTAGCTGGATTCTCAGGTTGTTTGAGCCTTGAGACGTCAACTGGTGGACAAATTCATTGCCTAGCCAATACTCTCCAGAAGGGGTACCAAAACCCTTTTAAAGTAATAGGTTACAATTATTAATGATCAATGTTCAAAAGCTGCTTACAACAGAACCAAATGCAATTTTTCAAAACTGTTCCAAAACCGCCATTTTTCAAAACGAATAATACAGAAACAAGCAGGTAATATAAATTCAGCAAAGATAGATGGGAATATCTCAACTCTAGAATTTAACCCAGCTCTTGAATTAATTTGGAAATTGGGTGATTGTGATTACCTGAATTCATGTATGTAGTGTGTATCTATCTATCTATCTATCTATCTATCTATCTATCTATCTATCTATCTATCTATCTATCTATGTACTTACAATTTTTGCCAAAGAATAACATACTGGAATTTGAAATGAATGTGCAGATGTCACATATATTCCTGTATCTATGGTAAGAAAAACAACAGAACTATGTGCATACACATCACTATGTGCTGCATGAACCAGTTAATCTCCCTTGACCCGGTTTATTGCAAACATAGTGAAGTGGTATGTGCAACTCTGCTGCTCACTAATGTACTGCAGATAAAGCTGTCAGGAAAGTAAACTCTACATGGTATTTTAAGGAATTAATTAGCAAACATTTTTCAATTGATATGTGAAACCTATCAAAAAAAATCTCAGTGAGGATTGTTGATCTTCAGAGACACCTTTGCAAATCAGGACTATGCAGAAATACAGTTATTTTCTAAAAATCTTACAAAGCCATACAAAGATGTTAGGTTGTATCTAAGCTCGAAGAGTTTGTTTAGGTGTTCTATAAAGCAAATATACACTAATTTTACTAAAATCTAATTTTTTTGCAATCCTCTAAAAGGGAATAAGTAAACTCTGTAAAACAAAATCTCTGTATAAAGACAAGTTACACAAACACTGCAGAGCCCACCATCAATCAAGCTGTTATTATCTACTAATAGTAAGACTAGTTACCAAACATTGTTACATTGATATACAGTATGAAACACATCAAACATGTTAAATTGAGGACAATGACCTTCAAGGACACCTTTGCAAATCAGGACTATGCATTAGTACACTTATTTTCTAAACAATGCCATATAAAAGTATTACAGTGTATCGAAACCTAAAACCAAAAATGTGATGTATTGCAGCTTACCAGTCCTTAGATTAGGTGGCTGCATTAGTTTTCTAGCGCAGAGTGAGTGCAGTACAGTGTTTGTAGCTTAAAGAAGAACTTTGGCCACAAATGTTATTAACCCTTGCAGTGGGGGTACCTCCACACTGCCTGGGTTAACTGCTCGTATTTACCTAGGGTAAAAAAAAAAGAAGTTATATTCATCCAATCCTCGGAGGCAGCAGCACTTCCTCCAGCCTGTCTCATCCTCTGCTCCAGCTATGGTATGTCCCTCGGCATCCTCACGTCTTGTACACTGTATTGATGACTCACAGGACCTTACACCATTGCAGCGCAAGGGAAGAGACAATCCAGGGATTGGTCTAAGAGCCGGCTGGCTCTGAGGATCAGGTGAGTATAACTTTTTATTAACCCTAGATAAAAACAAGCAGTTTACCCTTGCAGTGTGGGGGTAGCCCCACTGCAAGAGTTAATACAATATTGCTTGTAGTTCTTCTTTAATACAAAACAATTAAATAAATAAAATCTGCAAAGCAGTATTAAGGATTATATCAGGTCTGGAAACAGAGTCTTTAAGGACTTTCTTCTTTGAGAATTAACGAATGTCATGGTTAGGCAGTTGCCATCATATTATATGATACAGAACTGGTTAATAATAGGAACTGCTTACTTCTCTGTATTCTTTCCAGGTTCGGTGGAAATTTACAGATCCATCCTTGCGGTGTTGGATAACAGTCCAGCCTCCTCCACTAGTATCCATATCACACAATGCCTGCAAAAATCCAATAAACAATATTAAAACATAGGAACCTGTTTCTTACTGGCATGGCAGGATGGAATATCTGAGTGTTGCTGCTTAGTAACTTTTTATTGATGGCTGGATACCAAGTCTTGTTGGTAGCCTTCATATATCATTTCTTTCTTCAAGTTTTTTTCTCAAGATGTGAACTGCAGTAAGATTCTTTTGATTGTGAACATAAAACTTTTATTATTCATACTTTAAGCTCATATTAGACACATGATACTCCTTTAGTACTCTTAGCTTAAAAGCTTAAAAAGAAGCAGCCGAGCATTTTTGCAAATGTTGCAATGCCTAGATATGCTTGTTCTTCATGCTCAGTGGTTCTCAACCTGGGGAGCATCAGCATGGGACATTTCTGGTGGTTCCGCTGCAGCCAGCTGCCCTCAAACCTTCTGCTGAAAGAGGGTGCCCAGTCACAGCACATCCCGTCTCTCTGTACAAGATGGAAGCTGCTCTGGTGCTGCTCTAAACTTTTATAGTGTAAGCATGTCTTTGCAGGAAAGACCCTCAAAGTGACATGTGAGGAAAGGTGGCTATTCTGTCACCCTGGATAATTGTAAAGAAGGCAGAAGCTGTGTCAAAGTAGAGATACATGGCATACAAAAAATTTGCCTTCAAGCTTTAAACCTAAGAGAGGTTACTGTATTTGTACATACTAGGCCAATAAAGCTAATTCTGTTTTTGTGTTTTGGAGTATTGGATATTGTCATAGTGAGAGAAGACAAAAGGTGTCAGATAGTGTGACGGGGTAAGGGGAGGTATAATATGGTGTGGCAGGGGCAAAAAGAGGTATAAGATGTCCAAGGACTGAGGTGTAGTATCAGATGGTGTTAGGGTGGGGAGAAGTATCAGATGGTGTTGCGAGGATGAGAAAAGGTACCAGTTGGTGTCACAGGGGTGAGGAGGGGTACTAGATGGTGTCCAAGGGGTGATGAGAGGTACCAGAAGGTGTCACAAAGGTTTGCTTTATATATATATATAACTGATAACATATAGAAATAATAACTTAAAAAAATGTACTGATGGAGTGGGAGAGATTAAAGTTCCACTGCTTCCAAAGAAGGGCACAACAGAAAAAGTCTGAGAACTACTACATAGTCTGGATGTTGAGGTAGCAAATTCTGCACCAGGTGGTGACTTCAAAGTAAACCTGTCATGAATAAATTTGAGCCATGCCAATGTTGACCGCATTTTGCAAATGTTAGTTGCCTCTTCTGAGTCACTGGCCCAGAACAAGTATGCAGATCAGAACGGTCATAGAGAAGTCCTTATCGGCTTACATGTTCCAGGTTATGGATTCAAAATATTGAAGCCAGGTTATCCAATAAATGTATATGTACATGCACACACACATATGAAAACCTGTCAGTGACATAATGAACTGACTTAAGCTGGCCTATAGATTTTCTATAGATTTTTTTTCTATCACCTATGGTCAGATAGAAGAAGTGCAACAGATTCCTTCATCTACGCTAAACAACGCTAAACCATTGGCTCTCAAAATATCTGAACAATGCCTGCATTCAATCAGATTATTCAGGTATTTTGACAGCCAGCGGGGCCAACAAGCAAGATACTGAAGATTGGCCCAGCGGGAGATTCCTCCATCCACACAGTTTAGTGTAAATGGAGGAATCTGTTGCCTTTTTTTCCATCTGACCATAGAAAATCTATAGGTGTATGGCCAGCTTTAGAGCAATCATCTACCTTTGTTTTTCTTGGTGAGAATCTGACCATCTACTCTTTTAACCTTCTTGGCGGTATTCCCGAGTGTGGCTCGGGGTTAATTTTCAGTACCAAAAGCGGTAACCCCGAGCCACACTCGGGATCACACAGCACTTCACCTACCTTATCCCTACGAGCCGCGCTGTGTCCTCCGGCCGATGCTGGCATCCGTCTTCCGGGTTCCGTCCCTTGCGAGCAGGGGGCGGAACCAGCGGGAAATGAAAAAAAGAAAAACGGAAAAAAAATAGACACTAAAAAGCAAGAAATATTGGGAAAAATCAGACCACCGGGGAGGTTAAAAAATAAAAATACAATGCACTGTTGCTGAGTTGTTTGCTGTTATTTGTAAAAGTATCTACAAGTGTTGTGCCTACTGCCATCTATTAGTGTGAAACGTTTGCTAAATACTATTCAACAGAAGAAGCAGGTGGCTTCCATTTTGCAATGGTCAAATTCTTTGCACATGTGGAATGCACAGTGTTTGAGGTCCCAGTAATTACCGTTTTCTAGCAGTATTCAAGTTTACGTGCTACACACCTCTTATCCTGTCACAATGAACAATCTATCATCCATATAATTAAGTAGTTTCTCCAGTACAGCATAATTCTTATTTGTCAAACAAGACATAAATTCAGTTCCACTTAAGTGCTATTAACTAGCACTATTTTCCTCTTTTCATAACCTATTGATGGCATGTTAACATGCATTATATGCTCATTTTTTCACCCCGGAAACCATCTGAGCAGTAAAATATCATCATCATGTACAGCCATGTGGTATGCTCTGTGTAACTTTAAACAGTTACAATTATTCATCAAAAGCTCTAGTGTTAACACATGTTCTGTAAGTACCCATATGGATTGCCGAAAATTCCTTTTTTAAGATAGTGCTGAAAATGTTTGATGCCCTTTTTTAAACAATTTAGCATTTTCTGTTTTTCTTCATTTATGATATGAGAATATGGACTTTTGAGTTTTGACGCTCTGTCACAATATTAGTGCACTGCTGAACATTAAGCTGCTCACCTGATATAAAGTTGCTGACACATTAGACAAATATGTATTTGATATTTAAAAACTCTGCCTATAAAAAATAATTCTAGAGAGTCTCCAATTTCTCCTGCCCCAACCGTAACCATTCACTGCTTTCATAAGATCTTGTTTCTACTATTTCAATAAATGAAGGCTGCATAAAGCACATGCATAATGACTTTATAGTATTTGATGTTATCTTGCTGTTCATTTACTGAAGGGCTGCTGGTGCTGGGAGTAGGAGCAGGGGGTTATGTGTGTTGAATGTGTTGGTTATGTGTTTAGATGAAGCACTGAGATTTGAGGAATGCTGAATTAAGTTTTACTTGCTTACAAGGACATTACATGTGTGTATAAAGCATCATGCAGGAAACATAGCAGATGATAAAACTTCCTGTATATATCATAGATACAGTATAAGCATACCTATAGAAAACTAGCATAGACTACATTGCACTACAGCGCCATCTACTGCTCAAAATACATATTGGTACATTAGTATAAGCTGTTGTATTTCCAACAGAATGCAGGGCATTAAATGTGGGATTTGTGTTTATGTGGGGTACAAATCCCAAATCCCTATGTGATTGGCTGCAGGGAATTATCGGGGTATTGGATGCATGTTTACTTCAGGTGCTTATGTATTTTGGTAAGAATACGAACAGGTCTATTCACAAAAGGGTGAAGAGTTTGGAGAAGACAGGAGAAGTGAACAATCTAAGTCAAAATAGCTGAATTGGAAACATTCTCCAACTCAGCTCACTTTCCAGTTCAGCTATGTTGTCCTAGATTGTTCACTTTTCCTGCCTTCTCCAAACTCTTCACCCTTTTGTGGATAGTCCTGTAAATTTGAGGATTATAAAGCATTTAATGGGGGGGAGTGTGAGTGCAGAGACAGGTTCAGAGTGGGGGTGTTTGTTGCAGGGCATGTTGGGGAGAGAATCAGGCATGGATGACTGCTGGAACTGAATGTCCATCCATGCTTATTATGTTTTCTCCTAAATTTGGAACTGGAGCATTCTAAAAACATACTACTTGAACAGGTTGCTTACACTCACTGAATATGGCAGCTACTTACTTTTACTGTGTCTGTAGAATTGGAAAAGCGTAACATGTAGATTCCACTGGATGTTAGTCCAGATTTATATGCATCTGCACAGTCTCGGAAAGACATTTGTTCTTCCTTTGGTATGATTGGAATATCTAGGAAAACCATATATAAAAAGTGACTAAGTGCAGACTCCAGAAAGAATAGGCAGTATAAACATTCCATAGTTATAAATAATATTTTTGATTTCAAGGAATCTGAGATCTGTCTCTATTTATCTGGGAACAAACAATTAAATGTTAAAGTGAACCTGCTCCCAGTTCATGCATACTAAAGTATTTACATGTTCTGAAAAAACAGTAAAAGCACTTTAAAACAAACAGACCACAATTCATCTCTGTATCTATAAGCATTGTGGAATAATTTTTTTATAGTTCACAACAACGGCATTGAAATCTCAGCTTTTTTTCCAAGGAGCAGATTTTGGCTGCCTGTCCTGCAATGTAAACAACCAGCAGATGTTTCTAAGCTGTTAGAAACCAACTGAAACCCAACTTTAGAGTTCAGGGTTTTTTTGCAATCTTCTAGGGTCTTTGAGAGTAAATAACTTCACAGTAAAGCCAACTAGAGTGGCCAGGGATGGTTTGTTTTAAATCTATTTTTACTGCTTGCTAAGAATGTGTAAATAATTTAATATATATAGTCTGAGCACATGTGTATTTTAACCTTTTATTACCTAACTCTCGTTACACTTTAACATTTAAAGCTAATGCTGATTGGTTGCTGTGGATTCCTGGGCTAGGCATAAATGGCCAAATTTCACCATATGTAAAAATGGGATGAGGTTCAGGCCAATTAGGAGCACCCTTAGGAGAAGATGGCAAGTGCTTCCAACATTGGAAGCACATTATATTGCTTGTGAAGATTGTTGGGAAATCTTGCCTTGATCTGGTCAGTCATCCCTCTTCTCGTTGAGGATAGTGCTATTTGTGTCACTTCAGTCCATTGAAAAATTGCAGGAAAAGTAGCAACAAGCCCTACCTGGTGCTAGAGATGACAGTCATATGTCTTGCTACCCATTGTCCTCGGGGAGACATCTGTGCAGCTTTGGCAAGGCTTACATACTTTAAGTGCTAATAAATAAGCAAAGTTTTATGACTCGTGAAGTTTTACCTATGTAGCAATAAATGTATTTTGTGTATTACTGTTTCAGAAAATAAGTAGGAAGCAATACGTTTCACGACTTTCTACATATTCCTGTAAGCAATCCACTTTTACAAGATTTAATTCACTAGGGATCGACTAACACTATACTAAAAGTTGCAACTGATGTGTAATTCAATCATTCAGTACGCATACTTAGCTTTACAGAAAGCACTACACACCGTTATTATTTGTCACGTAAATTCTCATCTGCTTCTTCTGCATTCATTACAGTCTATACCAGAACCTTTAAAGAGGACCTTAACCCAGGACGTCCCAAATGAAATAAAATTGTGCGAGATGTTCACGAAATTTTGCACAATCCCAATTTTCATACTAAAGATGTCCCTGGAAGGCAGCAGTGATGCTGCCTTCCCACGGTGCACTGCTAAGGCACCTGCGGTGTCACTGCTGCCTAAAAAAACCAGGAAGTGAAAACAAAAACTTCCTAGTAGACCGAACATGCTTTAGTTTTCACATACTAAACTAAGGTAATTCTAGATAAGCTCAGAGAGCTGGATGCAATAATAAGTTTATAAGGGTAAAGATCCGCTTTAAGGCCTGTTCACACTACTCTGCAATCCACATTGAACGCATTGGTGCGATCAGGGCAGCCATCAGAAATTTTGGGGCCCCTTACACGGCTTTAGGCACCGCCACAGGGCTTAGTGATCCGCTGGACCCAGAGCTGAGTGACCCGCTGGATGCAGGGCTTAGTGACCCGCTGGACGCAGGGCTGAGTGACCCGCTGGACGCAGGGCTGAGTGACCCGCTGGACGCAGGGCTTGGTGACCCGCTGGACGCAGGGCTTGGTGACCCGCTGGACGCAGGGCTTAGTGACGCGCTGGACGCAGGGCTTAGTGATGCGCTGGACGCAGGGCTTAGTGACACGCTGGACGCAGGGCTTAGTGACACGCTGGACTCAGGGCTTAGTGACACGCTGGACTCACCTGAGAGTGACCCTGCAGAGCCCACCATAGATGCTGCACAGCCCATCTGATACTGTCTATAGTGGGCTCTGAAGGGGTTCTAAGGTAGGCTGGTCAGGGCTGCATCCCCCTCCCTCCTTCCTAGCTCCTCTTACCTGCACACCAGGCCTCCTCTGCCGCCGGACTGGCCGGAAGTGATGCCACGAGCAGCGTCGCTGATGAGGCCCCAGCTTGTCTCGAAGCCGATGGAGCGGCAATGCTGGGGCCCTGCGCTGCTAGGGCCAGGCCTCCGCTGCAGGGGCTGTCCGCCTCCTCGCTCTTCACTGTCAGCCGATACTCATGTAAGGGTCCCGGGCGGGCTGCCCGGGCCCCTTACATGAGTATCGGCCGTACCCCCCTGATGGCTGCCCTGGGTGCGATGCAGCGCCGTTCACTTGAATTGCACCTTAATGCACTTTGCTGCAATGCAACATGTGGCAATGCACTAATGTGCATTGCTGTGTCCTGCCAAAGAATGGTGCATGCATATTTTTTTGTCAGCGCACCGCAATGCTACGCACTATGTCTCCCAGAAGGTACATTGGGCCATTCAGAATGAATGACACCACACCCCATCAAGATACTGTTCATTGCAGTGTGTGTTACTGTAACACCATAGTGTGAACAAACCCTTAGCGCATTGACACACAATGCATTGGGCTGCAAAGCACATCCGTCAGCAATATTCATTGGGATTGCCAATCAAATTAATATCATCACATTGCATGAATGCATTTAAAGTGCATTGCTACATGTTGCAGTAAAGCACGCCGTACCATAACGCAATGTGCCGCAGATGCTGGGAACGAGCCCTTATGGAAAATAAGGGAGCACTTTGGATGTTTAGGAAACTGATATTTTAAAAAAGAACTCCGGGGATTTGTTTAACTCTTGCAGTGGAGCTACCCCAGCACTGCAAGGGTTAATTGCTTGTTTTGGTCGAGGGAGGAAATGATTGACAGCTGGATCTGCTTCTCTAGATCCAAAGCCAGCTGTGCCCGCACCTGTGTGGATCGGTGTCTAAGTGGTGTCACCGCTCTGTGCAGGGAGAAGACCGTGAGCTGAGCATTCAGTGATTTATGATCGTTCAGCTCTCGATGTAGAAAGCCGACATGTGACAGCTGCAGTGTTACACGCCGGATCTAAGTATTGGGAAAAGTATATTTTACTCTCCCCATACTTCCTATAAAAAAAAACTTTTTTTCTTTTTAATAAACTGTTTTCATATTTAACTACTTATTATCCTTTAGTTAACCCTAATCAGCCCTAATTCACTTCTTGCTCCCCTTCTCCCCATAGGTATACATTTATTTTGCTTGTTATTTTTTTTGTAGTGTAAAAAAATGGGTAAAATGGGAAAAAAAACGTTTTCCTTTTGCAAATAACTTTGCCATACTTTGTGCCAGAAACATAACTTGTGTTATTTTAAATGGGAGAAATTATGAGTAAATTGTATGAGTAAATTGTAAATTTCACAGTAATACTAATTTATAACAAAAAAACACTTTTTCCCCCCTTTTTATATCTTTTATGCCTATAGATTACATAGAAAAAAATGCATGTTTTTAATGCTATATTGCCATAAAGAAAGTCTAGTTTTTATTAACTTTTTGTATTAAGTAATGACAAATTTATATCCATATAAATAGGCCCGTAGTGTAAAAGTAAAAATTGCTCTGGTCCATGAAGGTACCGGATCTGAAGTGGTTAAATAAATAAGGCCTAAAATAATATGTATGGCACTTGCTTGCTTCTGGTTTTAGACCTAACAGCATCTACATTTTGGCATTTGTACCAACATTTATGAAAGCATTAGATTGGTACTAACGATTGTATTGGGACACCAGGCTGGCTAGCTGGCCCACAGTCTCCATGAGTTGTGCCTGCTGTCGTTGTAAGATGGTGTTGTTATGCACTGCATCATTGAGCTGCTGCTCCAGTTCCCCGATGAGGCCACTCTGCTTGGAAAGTACATCTTCTACATGAAGTTTCTCAGATTTCAGCACATCTATTTCCTCTCGGTGCTTCTCCTCCATCTGCAAGACTCTGTTTTCCAGAAAACTAGAAAATCACACAGCGAGCAAAAGGGTTATACATAATTCTCATAGTCTTTCACACACCTTTTGGATTATCATTTTTGACCAGAACTTCATTTAAAATATGTCTAAAGTACTCTGAAGAAATAACTGAAGCCACAACATAATCAACCTCCAGATTGTAAAATGAAAGTCTATGAAAACCCTGTAAAAAAATGTCTACAGCCAAAAGTTATTTTTATTTTGAATAGAGTAAGGAAGGTTTAACATTCCTGGCAGATATTTTTGCCATCTGTGTCCCATTGGCGAGATTTCCCTTTCATATTCAGTCCTAAACACAGGAAAAGAGAGGAAATCTCTCTAAAGTGGGGCAAGCCCTCTTTAAAACCACTGGAAGGCTTCAAAGTTTGAAGACTTCAAACTCAAAAGTTTGGATTTTCAGTCCCAGTGACAATGGTTATCAGGACAAATAGAGACAGTGAATCTCTGCAGTGGGGACATAGACAGAAAGAAAAAAAGCTAAGCTAAAAGCTAAAGAGAATATAAAATCATAAAAAAATCATTTTTTCTTTAAATTACTTGTGTCAAATGTCCATTTAGTGGGAAGATCTGGTTTGATGGTCAGTCTAACACTGGGTATTGTTATTTAGCGTTAGCAAAATACTAGTAACAGTGCATAGTTTCCATTGCAATTTAGATGATGTGAATAGTTCTAAATATTGATTTTATTTTATAGAACTATTCACATCAGTCCCTGATTCCAGAGATGTTTGAACCAGTTTTAGTGAAAGGCAGCTAATTTCCTACTAGGTTTTAAAATGTAAAAAGTAATCAGAGCACCTGGAGGAAACACAAAACCCAGGAGAAAATTAATGCAGTGTTCCCTATTGGTATCTATTCAACAGAGAATGTTTGTGGAGCGCTGGACCTCATGGATAAGTAGGAGGGAGTCTAACTTCTTGATGCAGCTCTCTGTTAAAATGGGTCTCCCAGAGGGTCCATGAAATAGCTATAGTGCATAAAAAGCATGAAAGCGCCAGCAAGTCCAGAAAGAGTTTACTGGTCATGGCAAATAGTCAAAACAGCCAATGCCTTTTGGGTGCTCAACACTCCCCTTTGATCAGGGTTAGGAAACAAACAACATATACAACTAAGCATCTACAAACATAAAAGACCAGTGTACAGTATAGTAAACAATCATTTGAAAAGTAACTAATCCAAAAACATCTAATATGTACATTCAGTTAGCAAAAAGACATGGTTCGTAAAGGAAATCATTAATAAATATAATTTAACTGATCAAATTGATATAATATTAAAATCTATGTATCTATGTATAGTCTATCATGTACTCTGCATCTGTGTATATTCTATTATATACTGTACTAGATATCCTACTGTCTGTGTCTAATTCATCCTGAAAAGTTACTTAATATCAAACTAATGGTATCAACAAATACGCTCTTCATAAAACTGCATAATTGTTTTGACTACTATCAGTGACCATTAAATTCTTGATAGACTTCTTCATGTCTTGTGGTGCTCTCATCTTTTTTATGCACTATAGCTTTTGACAACTAAAGCCATGTACTTTTTAGCTACAGGTTGAAGCTGCATGTATATGAAAAGATTTCAGCTGCATCCGTAGCTGCATTAAATAGCAAGTCCCAGCTGTTATTTTGACAGCCAGGAATTGCCAGAATAAGCAGCAGCAGGAGAAGATGAACTAGCTGAAGAACATACCACCATGTGTACTTGGAAAATGCCCATAACTGGTTAAGCTCATTAAATCAGAAAGTGCTGAAAACTACTTGAAACTACTAATTCAGCTTGACCGTCAGGCAGCTAGCATTTCTAGAAGAAGAGATCAGCAAATGCAGTTTCCATGTTCCTGTCACAGGAGGTTTACTTTGAAACTCACAAAGTAAAAGCAGGCCAGAGAAGATGTCAGCATATTTTATGTCTCTTGCACTGTCCTCCTGTACCCATAAAACCCTTGAAAGCCCAACAAGCACTAATCATCTTCCACATCCTGAGTGAGTTATGTATCACTCGTCTCCCTATGTCCAGTCTGCCCCATACGCTCAGGCTCTACTTATGTGAAAGCACACTTGGGCAGAGCAAAGGTGGGGCTGGGCTGTTTATTCTTTATGACAATGAAAAGTCTGGCCTTCCACTGACCCCCCAAAAAAAACAAAACCAGCTCATAACATTATTGATCTAATGTGGGTAGCAAAGTTGACTAAATTTCATTATTTTTCAAAAAACATACATCATATTTGTGTTGCCAGATCTCCTGCATTCACTGAAAAAAATGTAAATACAAAACAGAGAATGAGTTCTGTAAATATGAGAGCATATTAGATCTGTGCAACATCAGCCTATATTTCTAGAAGTCTAACAGATATCTGTAGCTAAACAATCCTGCTTTTTGTGTAATCTACAAAGAGGTTATATAACCCAGAACCAGGAAAAAAAGAGCAGCAGGTAGTGGCAGACTGGAAGGAAATGAAAGCTGCAAACAGCTAAATATGCAGTTTAAATGCATGTGTGTTTACTGTTTACCTACCAAACAATTTGTCATTTATTGAAGCTAATGTCGTGATTTACACACCTCAACAATACAGTCCAACTGCACAAGTGACACACTTATGCAGAGTCATATCTACAACAAATTGCGCCCCTGTCGACCTGCCTAGCTCTTGGCAAACCAGTGATGTTACTGGTTGCCAGGAGCTGGACGGGACGACGGTAAGAGCGTCCCAGGTTGCTAAGCGTTCTCAGGTTGCCAAGAGCCAGACGGGGAGATGTGCAAGTGCCATACACATTGCCCTGCCCGGCTCTTTTCAACCTGGGATGCTCTGGTCGGTGTCCCACCCACGTACACATCTCCCCACCCTCTCTGGATGCTAAGAGCCGAGCAGGAAGATATGTATGGCCCTTACACATCTCCCCACCCGGCTAAAAATGCTCTGGCCAGTGTCCTGCCTAGATCCTGGCAACCAATGAAGTCACTGTTTGCAAGGAGCTGGGTGGGACACCGGCCCAAGTGTCCCTGGTTGCTAACTGGGCAAGGAGCAGTGTAAGGGAGAGGGGTTGGCAGAGAAAGTCAGCTGTTTCCTTGGTTTGGCAAACTTTTGCTGACCCATGGAGCAGCAGATTTCCCCCCCCCCCTTCAAGTGGTGCCCAGGGCATATGCCATATGTGCTATACCCTGGATATTCTGGTGATATAGCATCACCCCTGTCGAATTAGCAGGGATCTGGCCCATAAATCAAGAAAGCTGAATCAGCAAGTGATCTTTCCACCTATGCAGGATGGCATCTATGGTCAAAAACTAAAACTAAATATCTATTGCTATATTCTATTTCCCTAAGTTGTATCTTACTCCTAATAACCATATTGATTAAAAAATTTGTAAGCATACTTATTGAAGAGGCCCGTAGGATGTGCTTCCTCAATGAACTGACACAATTTGACTGAGCCCTATGAATATAATATACACTTCCTTGTGTCATCATTCTCACAGAGCCTGCCTTCTGAACTCAACGACTGAACAATGTAAGATTATCATTGCTTGCTGGAAGCAATGCACGATGGGATATGTATTCTTTAGAAATTACATCACACCAAAGAGCAGGGAAAGATATACAATGTACACTGGCAATCCAGGAAGTTGTTGAAAGTGACGGGCAGACAGAAGGCAGCACTCACTACATAAAAAGGATTTTTTCAAGTAAGCTTTGATTGCATTATCAGAAACAACTATAATATGTATTCCGATTACAATGCTGATGTTATAACAGGAAAATATATGCTATAATTTTACAACTCCTTTAACTCAACAAAATTGCCAAGTCCTTCGGCAGGTTGTACAAATATGTATCTCAACTGTGTATTTCGCTGTTTCCATGGGATCCTGCTTTAACACATTCAAGAATTCTAGTATATTACAACACAGAACAGACATACATACAGTATATGACCATGTACTTCTTAGGAAAGGCCATATCAGCCATGTGCCACTTTTATTACAATTTGTGTTTAGTTTGTAAAATTTTCCAAGTTAAAAGAAAAGGAGTCAAGAATCCAGTACTATAAATGTGAACCATATAATAGGAATCAATTTAGAAGCGTGATGCATTCCATAGCCTTTTTGTGACATCACATGACTTTTTCTGCAAGAAAAACATAACAGAAGAGGGCAGCCTGCACAGTATTTAAAGATGATTCCTCTTACCTGTTCTTTTCACGCAGCATGTTAATCTCTTGGCTTTGTTGCAGAAGTTCCTTCTCCAGCCTGTTTGTTGATAAAGAATTTTCCAGCAGCTGGATTTCCAGTCTGTTTGTTTGGTTCATAACCTGCAATGTACACTAAAGCTTTAAGAACATGCTAAATTGTCGATAATTTGACTTTTTTGTGTCCCATTTAGACAATTTCCCTTCAGTTCCAGTCCCATAGGCACAACATAAAGTGAGAGGAATTCCTTTAAAAGTGAGGGAAACTCACTTTGGAGGGACTTTAGTGGCAGGCTACATGGATCCATTATGTTGTTTTTGGAAATAGAAGCTAGTTGAATGTGGTCAAAATGACTTAAAATGGGTGTGTGTTTGGCCACCATTAGAAGAGATACGGTGGGAACATTAATGAAACCTTGGGTAAAGGAAAAGACTGTTGATGTCCATAAAACCCTTTAAGATACTAACATTCATTTTCTCATCTGCAATGGAAACATATTCGTTTGGTTTCTGCAGATCCCACTTGAACTGTTTTATTTTGTTTTTACAAATCAGTCTTACTGAGAACACTGAATTGGTAACGTAATGAAAACAAAGGGAGTGGAAATGATTTGAAAACAATATAAGATTATCAGAAGTTAAAAGAAAAAAACAGAAGCTGTTCACGGATGCCAAAAATCTAAATATTGGGAACAGAAACCAGAACTAGGAAAGTTTAAAGAAGAAAGTGGTAAATAGGAGCTAAATAGACTCAAGAAGAGGACAGGAACCATGAATGGAAAATTATAAGAATATTTGTCAGATGTAGAAAGCAGAAACTCTGAAAGAAAACAAAAATATGTAAAAGAAGCACAGGGACATGTTATATGAATTAGAACTGTAACATATCACTAATTAAACACCACAGTCAAATATAAAAAATAAAAATGAAGGTATTGTACACAATGAGCATAGCCTACCTGCCGAGTTGTTTAGTGTTTCATTCAGAAAATTTTAAATATGATACGGCCTGTTCACACCAAAATTGGAAGGTAATCATGAGTCAATGGAAGGTCCGTTGACTTGCGACTGTACCTTATGATTTGCTTCCGATTCATTGCCTTGTCATATATTTTTCAACGGATCCTAACAAAAGACCACCGAAAAATGAATGTGTGTGAATGTTCACACCACTGCATTGCAGTACGTTGCGCTGAAAAAAAGTAGTGCGTGTTGTACTTTTTATCAGCGCAACATAATGCAACACATCGGAATAGAGAGGTGTGAACTGGTCCCGTTCACACCCTTTCATTTTTTGGGTTACCTTCCAATGTAATATATTGATATCTATTGAAAAACGGGTTGCATTGGGTCTGGTGTGAATGGGGCCTTAATACAAATAGCAGTGAGAGTAGAAATTAAGTAGCACAGAATTCAGACCAGAAAGAAGACTGTTACTGCTCTGCTAGTGACCTGTATAGAGATATCTGTTGCTGTCAATATTTAGTAGTTCAGTGAATGCCTTTTCTTTTTGTCTGGAATTGTTCTTTAAGCATATCAAGGAGTGAAGTTATGTACAGTATAAAATGTTGTTGTTTGCAGCTTGTATTAGTTATTTCAATGGTTAAACAGATTATGGCTGAGCGCCACCATCTGCAGTTGTATGAGCAATGTAATTAGTGCAATTAGTGTTTTTGCAATGCATTAGTGTTTATCTTATGTGTATTGTCATAGTTTATTCTGTGCCGTGCTGGCACTTTGTGGTCATTGTTATTATTACACTTATTTTTCTGTGTATCCTCCCCTTTTGTATGATGTCATTTCCTCCTTTCTCATTATATGTCCCTGCTATTGTTGCTGCAAGACATATGGAGGTGAGGAGAGAAATATTGCTGTTTTCCTGACCCATTTGGATGCAATAAAGATATTGGTGAATGCAACGTATTTGGTGTGTTCAGGTAACTGATGAAGACTGTCTGTGGTGATTGTATCTGCTACACAGGCCAGACATAGAGGTCTTAAGAAGGAATAAGTCACTATTAAAACACTTGGAGTCAGATTAGGTCGTATAATGTCATATATTGATACCAATATATTTCAGTCTGTAATACCTGAGTTTCTACATCGGTCAGCTTGCGTGTTTGCTCAGCAGTTTGAGCTAGTAGGTTTGTTCCGATTTCCAGCATGTTGATTGTTTGGTTCTGCACAGTTGATCGCTCAGAGTCTGTTACCTCATCTCTGATATTGTTGTGAATATAACTTTCTAGCTGAAATACAAACATGATGAAAGATCAGTGAAGTCTCAAGAAATACGCTTCTGTAAATGTTATAGCTTTGACACTGTCCGCCATGTTTGGAGTGATATGGTGATCCAATGAGAGATGTCACCTCGTCAGACTTCCCTACACTGTTACGTTGTTCTTTGGCAGAGATCCCCTTCACTTCTCAGCTAAAGCCTTAATCACTTGAAGACCGGGGTGTTAAACCCCCTTCCTGTTCCTGTCCAGATTCTGTCCACATTTTTCAGTATTCCTCGCTGCAGTAGTTTGACTGACATTTATTCCGTCATGCAATGCTGTACTGAAATTAATTTTATACCATTTTCTGGGGACAGATAGAGCTTTCTTTTGGTGGTATTTAATAGGGATGTCCCGATACCGATGCTAGCATCGGAATCGGGCCCGATACAGGGCATTTTGACAAGTACGGGGTGGTCCAGCTGACAATCTTTCCCCTCATATACCCAGAAGGCAAACGTATAGCCACTTTTGATCCCGCAAAGTTGATAAAACTTTATCCCATACCGAGCGGGCTTTGAGGGGATATATTGTACTTTGTACTACATGTGTGTGATTTACGGCCGTGTGTGTTTTTATGTGTGTGATTAAGCCAGCGGCTGCTGTCCCTTTAGTGGAAAAAGTGCAGCAGCAATGACATGTCACTGGAAGTGTCAGTATACTGACCTGCATAAAAAAACAATGCAGTGTCAGTGCCGTTTTAAGATGGCATATTCCTCCTCCAAACTAAACTTGTGCATAATTTAGCAACACACTACCTATCGACCTAACCTACAGACTAAATTAATAACACAATTTTTTTCATAACGTACTACCTATCTACCTATGTAACTAACTGACCTACAGACTAAATTGCCAACAAATTACTAAGCACACAACTTTTGGGGTTTTTATTTTTTACTATATTAAGGAAAAATTACCAAAAATGTTGAAAAAAAACTTTCTCTACACTAAATTATGAAACATTTATTATTACCCACTTTGAAAAAAACTTTTGTTTTTGTAAAAAATGTTTTATATGTGATGTAGTTTTTTTATGCTTCCTTTATTTTTGTAAACTTTTTTTACACTTAAATGTATTGCTATCACTTAGGTGGATAAGAAGCCCCCTATGTGATAGCCAATTTACGTGACAGGTCCTCTTTATGGAGACATCAGGGGTCTCCAAGACCCCTAATGTCACCTACGGACCCCCAGAGAAGCTAATGAAGCAGAGATCTGCATCACTAGCTTCTCCCAAGCTTCTGTAGCTGGGAATGACAGCTGAATGCGGACGTGATGTATTATACATCACTTCCTGCATTCTGACACCGAAGAGGAGATCAGGGAGAGTTTGTGTACTGACCTCCCTTTGATCTCCGGTGACAGAGCCGCCATGCCGGTCCTGGCCCGCACAGTGCACAGTAGCTCTGGGGACCGACGATGGCGGCGACAGCGGCGGTGGGGGAGGTGCACACCAGCAGAAAATACAAGCGGGTGACCAAGAGATTGACTTTATAAGTGTGCTGCTTCTCCTTTAACTGTCCAGTGGGGGGGTGGAGAAGCAACCTGTACGTGAAAGTGAAATTGCAGCATAGAGAACTCAGGTTCCCTCCCCTTCTAGACAGGCTGTGCTGCGTGGCAGAGCTGCATATATCTTAGGACTTGATGGCGAGTAAAGGTGCCCATACACCTTACGATTATCGGACAAAACTTTTCATCCGATGATCGAATAGTCGTACGATTTACGTACGGCAGCCCCATCCTGCCCTGATGATCGCAAGATTAATTTAGCCGCAATTAACGAAAAAGCACCTGGGCGAAATGCGGTAATTGATTTGCCGTATTTTCGTTAGCGCAAGCGCAGTGTAGATCGTACGACTTTCGACGGACGGAAACGCCAGCAACCTTACGACAATCATACGATCTAGCAAAGTTTTCAAACAGGCTTGACCATCAAAAGTCGTACGATTGTACAGTACTGTCGGTCGGACAATGCAATGCACACATACGATTATCGGCCGAAAAGTCAATCGCATATGAAAATCGTCTGATAATCGTAAGGTGTATGGGCACCTTAATACAAATTCTTTGACAGGTAAATCAACTACCTGTATGCATTTCACCTGCGTATTTTGTTGTTTGCCTGGAGTTCAGCTTTAATGCATTTGGACATTACTGCTGTCCTTTGAACTGGCTTATTAAATTATTTATTTATGACAAACAAACAAAAAGATATAGCATATGAATGTTGGATATTTCACATTATGCTATAAGATGTAGACATATGGTAGTAGTTATTTGCATGTAAAAAGTTGATACCCCCTTTCTGACATCATATGTGTCCAAATGGCAGGCAGATTTTCTTTGCTTTTTTGTTAGCGTCCCTGGATACTTATATGAAATGATGTGTGTCTAGCAGCATACTGCTGGCTGGTCAAGCATATTAGCGCAGAAACAATTTTGCCCCCCACAGGCATCTTACTTGTGACGATACAGTGCAGTCCTCTTTTAAACCTTAAATGTCAACTTGATGATTGATGGCCAGAAACATATGCACAGACAATCAAGCCTTGCATGCAATAATTTTTTGACAGGATCAAAATGAGCCTTGCTGCATTCGAGAGTTCAATTAGGATTGGGTTAGTACACAGTGGTATCCATAGATTGCAGATGACCTTTGTGCAGAAAATCACTGCTGTCCACCACATGTACAATCCCCTCATTAGAGTATCCACACTTTTCAGGATTTTGTCTGGCTAACCATTGGCTGAGCTGCGGGCCTCTTTAGGACTAATACTCTATCTGCAAGCTCTATATATAGGCAGAGCACCTGCCTTAAAGTGAAACTAAACTCAGGGGTTAAATCTTAAAAAATGCATTTAAGTACTCGAACCATTACCAAAAATGTATCTTATTTGTGTATCACTCGGTTGTAGATCCTCAAATCATCTCTGAATTGGTGCTGACAATGTCCTCCCTTCTGGAGGGCGCCTACTTTTGTTCCACATAGTCCCTGTGTGTGTTGTAAGTAGAAACCGCTCCAAGCTCACTCCTGGGATGGACTACAATCTCACGTTTAGCTTACTAATTTGCATTGATATTGTAGTTGTTTAGCTTGCTATATTTAGCAGAAAAAAGCAAGATAAAAGGGAATAAACATACAAGGTGCCTAAAGACGAATTGAGGTCCTTTGGTATCATCTACTTTCAGTACTAGCAAAGTATTAACCTCTAGTCTAATGACATTATACATGTACCAGCATGGTTTACTAGATTAAAATATTTCTCACACCATTAGATCAAATCCAGGCTTTTTACTCTTTGTCTGGTTTGTATTATATATTAGGTGTTAGACATGTAACCTCGCAAAAAATGTGTTTAGTTTCGTATCAATTCAGATTTTTATTTATTTCGTTTACCGGATTTCGTACCCGAAGTTTGACTCGGTTCGTTATTCAGATTTCGGATCCATACGAACTTTTGTTTCAGAACAAAGTCACATGACCTTGCCTGTAATGCAACCCCCGAACAGCCAAAAAAAAAAAATCTGATTGGCCAGAGAACAGTCACATGTCCAATTTAGTTTAGTTTTGAACGAAATTCGTATGGATCCGAATTTCATTAAACAGACATTCGGATTCGTTCGGATTCAGATGTGTTCAAATTCGGAAATTTGGATGCATCCAAATGTCTGAATTTAACGAAATTCATATCAGTATCTATTCGGAAAGAAACAATGTCTATTAGGTGTTGTATTTGATGTAGGCCAGGCAGAACAAGGTGGGCTATCAAGCATGGACATATGTCATGTCTTTTCTTGTACACAAAATGAATAATTATTTTGCACACTTAATTGTAACTATTTTCTTGCCTTCTTTAATTTGTTCCCCATCATCCTTGGTATTCAAAATTGTTCTCACTTTTACATAATTGTGCCTAATTTTGTAGGTAATGCAGGATACCTTGAGACGCCCGATCGCTTGTAATATGCGGTTGGGTGTGCGTCCCCCTCCGTCGCCGCCGCTGCTGGCGATCCCGGGCTCCGCTGTTCCCGGTGTGAGCCCGGGACCAGCACAGCAGCTCTGCGTCCGGAGATCAAACGGAGCTCAGTACACCAGCTCTGTTTGATCTCCTCTCATCTCCTCTGCATTACATCACTGCCTGCATTCAGTGTCACTCTCCGGTACAGAAAAAGGAGAGAAGCTGGTGAAGCAGGTCTCTGCTTCATCAGCTTCTCTGGGGGTCCCTAGGTGACATTAGGCATCTTAAAGACCCCTGATGTCTCCATAAAGAGGACCTGCCACTGAAAATTGGCTATCACATAGGGATTGTTACAAAAAAAAAAAATCACATATCAAAGCAATAAAAAAAATGCAGGGGGCCCCCACATGCACACGCAAACATGTGTCAAGCCCGCCTATGAAAACGCAGATTACATCCATTGCGCCGCACATGTTACATATCTCCGCGAACGTCGGAATGAGAGCAATAATTCTAGGGTCATCAATCACTGATAACACTAAACCGATGAGCGGTAAAAGCTTTTAAAGCGCCGGCTATGGTCAAATTTGAGTGTGGTAGTTTTTTTGCGATTTAACGGGTGCGCGCAATTTTAAAGCTTGACATGTTTGGTGTCTATTTACCCAACGTGACCCCGTCTTTTATATTTTAACAAAAAATTTGGTAATAATAAATGTTTTATAACATATTGTAGGGAGAACAGGTTTTTTTTCAAAATGTTCGGTTCTTTTTTTATTATACAGTAAAAAAAAAACCCGTAGTGGTGATTAAATACCACCAAAAGAAAGCTCTATCTGTCCCCAAAAAATGGTATAACATTTATTTCAGTACAGCGTTGCATGACGGAATAAATGTCAGTCAAAGTACCGCAGCGCTGAATACTGAAAAATGGCCTGGTCAGGAAGGGGGTATAAACACCCTGGTCAGCAAGTGGTTAAAGTGGACCTTCACCCCTTTTACTACAAATTA